TACTAACTTTGGGGGCGAGTTCTTGACCACTAAAACAAGGTCAAATATCTATCAGTCTAAAAACGCAATCTGATACAGCCGTGCAGCCTCGCGTCCATTACCATTGGTCCGACCGTTTTTTGTAGTACAAAATTTAAGGATAGCTAGGAAAAAGCATAATTTATATGGCATTTTAATGTATATTTTAAAAGCTACAAAAAAAATAAACGTGTAAATTTAATTTTAACATTTTTTTCCCTTCATTGGATATCAATTGATATTAATGATATCCAATGAAGGGAAAAAAATTATGAATAATCATAATTCTCTTTTTCATTTCGCTCCATTGTTTATCTTTAATATCAATCAAATTTACACGTTTATATTTTTTATATCCCAGAAATAAACTTGATAATGCTGGGACGAATCCGGTTGTTTTTTTTAGCTTTTGAATTATACATTAAAATGCCATACAAATTATGCTTATTCCTATCTATCTATCTATCTATCTATCTATATATATATATATATATATATATATATATATATATATATATATTTATTTATTTATTATAATAATTTTATCATACAGACAAAACCATTTTACTCACTACAAAGATGCAACTTGGTTTCAGTGCAGTAAAATGGTTTTGTTTATATGATAAAATTATAATAAATAAATACTATATATATACATGTGTATGTGTGTGTGTGTGTGTGTCTCTATGTTGAATCTGTGTTTAGTCCTTACTGTAATAGTTGAATAGAGTTGCGTTATATGTGCGTCAGAATGGCTTTCTCACGTCGTTTCTAGTAAGAATTAATAGTCGAAAACACCGTGATTACAGTAATTATAAAGATTCTGGGAAAGGCAATCCATCCATTTAACCATGTAAATTGTTCTACAGCAAGAGACACTTACAAAATAATATAAAATAACTCTTAAGCGATGCACTCACTGAAAAAAAAAATTATTGATAGATTATATTATTTCGCTGAGAAATATTGTCAATTTGCGTTCAGAGGAAAATTTGGGTATTGTGCAAGCTTTTTTATATTTAGGAATGTATATTTCTTTTCAAAATCAATTTCCAGAAAGCAAGTTGCCGTTATTGTTGGCACTGGAACCAGATTAGTCAGGTTAATCTATTCACTTTGAAATGTTTTTGTAAATCTTACATCGTTTTTTTTCTCGTAAAACATTAATGAAAAGGGGTTGTCTACGGTTGTACGGTTTTATTTTCGCTCAAATCAACATATACAACAAAGTATTTAATAAATATAATATATAGTAATATAGAGTTAAAATATTTTAATATTTAAACGACTACGAAGCGTCTTGTAATATAGTTCTATATATAAGACACAGTTGTGTGCCATGTGTTATACATGCTTAGGCATTCATGTATTTTTCAATGCATGACTGACGAGGCAAATTTTTCCCGCAGTAGGTTGGCACGGTGGAGTAATGGATAGCGGCTCGGATCGAATTCCAGTCAAACCCATTACATTCACTTACGTGCTATTACCCTTGGGAAAGCTATGACCCCCTCTTCTTCTCCCCACAACTATGGTTAAATAGCAGGAGAGACTGGGTTCTATAGCCTTGAATGGCAACAGGTCTACCGTAGAAAGTAATGGCAACCTACGTCGAGAAAAAATCTGCCTCGTCAGTCATATATTGAAAGATACATGATTGCCTAAGCATTTATCACGCATGGCACAAGACTGACTGACTTTCCAGTCGAATCCATTACATTCACTTACGTTCTAATACCCTTGGAAATGGTATGAATCCTCTTCTTCTCCCCCCAGCTATGGGTAAATAGCAGGACAGAGCGGGTTCTATAGCCTTGGATGGCATCAGATCTACAGCAGAAAGTAATGGCAACCTACTGTGGGAAAAAGAAATCTGCCTGGTCAATTATATATTGAAAGATACATGATCGCCTAAGCGTTTATCACGCATGGCACATAAATGACTTCCTGAACAAGGCACAAAGTTGTGCAAACATTAACGAGGTGTCTTCTCGCTAAATTGATAAACGCATTTCCTTCGTTTGCACAAATTCTGCCATCTTGTGAAAGAATTGGACACTACGTTAAGGAAACTTATCTTGAGTGTGACAGCGAATAGTTTAACTTACTGTTCTTTTATTTTTATCTCTTGAGCTGTAATAGTAATAGGCACATGTGAGCTGATTATGTGGCGAAAGCCACCCCCCCTCGACGGAAGAAAAAATAAAAATATAAAAAGCAAAATGTTATCGTACTCTTCTGCTTAGACTAATCAGATATATTTGATGATCGTACTACAAGAGGACTCTGCTTATAATCTACAATACAAACAGAACATATTACGAACACATTCTACAACTTACATATGCGTATCAAAGAAAAAAAAACGCTGACAACAACAAAAAAGAGTTTCAAATGAAAGCATTTTTATATCTATATAATAAATGCGAATGTCAGTGTGTCATTGTGTCAAATTTTTTCAACTTTACTCCTAGAGGCCGTAGCCCAACATATAATACCATTTTGGAATCAGGCCGACTCCGTGAGCGAATTAAAAACATTCTGAACCAGGCTGGATCCGCAATACTGAAATTTTGGATTCCCAACTTTTCATTACTGCAATTAATTCGTATTCCGCCATCTTGGCTTCTACTTATAGAAACAATTAAAGGGACACATCTCTCTAACTTTCAATAGCTCATGTTCAAATAAAAAAAATTACTGTTCTCAAAATACAGGGTTTCAAAATATAATTTTCTGTGTTTTCAACTTTACTTCTACAAGCCGTAGCCCAACATATACCATTTTGGAATCAGGCCAACTCAGTGAGCAAATTAAAAACATCCCTGGTCGGATCTGGACCAGTAATCCTGAAATTCTGGATTCCTAAGATTTTATTTCTGCGATTGTTAGTGGCAATTTTTTTACGGGAATTTTTTTTTTTTTTTTTTTTTGCAACGAATTTTTTTATACGATTACAATTTTTATAACTTTGATATAAATTTTGGAATAATCAAAATTATTTGCGAAATCCAGCGAAAGTCACACATGAAATAAAAATAATTGTCTGTATGGGAAGTAAGGACCTACGTTCATCAAACTCTCTTTAAATTAAATGGCGGCAGAAGAATCATCGTTGAACTTTTAAAAGGCAAGCTTAAATATTAATGCAATACTTAAATGCAGCGATCAATTTTGAGTTATTCTGTAGTTTATTGTTGCCTATTGCATCTAATCCTCCCTACCTATTGTGATGAAGACCCAATCAAGAGCCCTCCGCCGGAGCTAGCTTAAATACTGCCCGACAGGGTGAACACTCAACCGGTATATCACAGACAGCTGGCGCCAACAACTAAATAACACTTTTATGCTGGGAGCTAAGTTTTTGTCGCTACAGCATTTCTTATAGAAATTAATTTTTGCCTATGAGGTGCTGAGCAGACGGGATTAATATATCGTTTATGTTTTGAAATTATTTTACTAATGCCAGGAGCACAAAGCAACCATTTGCATTTTTGTAGAAACAGAGAATGCTTTCTGAATAAAATTGCAAATGAATTACTGAACGATTTATTTCATACTATACAAACTTATATAAATATTGTTTGCAAGATGGATATCATGATGTAATTAAGAAAGGTTGAAAATTATATCGGCTGAAATACTGTTATCAAAACAAGTAGGATAAATATGTTGGTCAGAAGGACACGTAGTTGAGAAGTTCATTTTCCTAATCTTGCAGTTGTAGGTTGTTTTTTTTTATTATTTTGTTAGAAACAAAAAAAAGTGTTTAAAAATCTCATGCATTATATAATCTTCTATACGTCAGTGGATGCTGGACAATCTATTCACAGTTGAAAAAAATTAACGAGACAAAGGTGAGCATTATTTACATTATTTAGACTATTGTCCTCATCTTTGTCGACATATTTATTATGTTTCGGCCGTTGTACGCTCCGGTCTTCTTCAAGTGGTTGGAATGTCGAACTGAACCCTTTATTTCGCTCACTGGCGTAGACTGTTCTAGTTCCACGTGCCATGTTTTTAATGGATGTCAGTTATCAGTTATCTCCTGTTAATTTCCCTCTGAAATAAATAATGGCGACAAAGATGAGGACAATAGTCCGAATAATGTAAATAGTGTACATAATACTTCATCTCAGAAATACACAGATACTGAAAGGCCGAAACGTTGTAATAAATATGGCGACAAAGATGAGGACAATAGTCCGAATAATGTAAATAATGTACATAATACTTCATCTCAGAAATACACAGATACTGAAAGGCTGAAACGTTGTAATAAATATGACGACAAAGATGAGGACAATAGTCCGAATAATGTAAATAATGTACATAATACTTCATCTCAGAAATACACAGATACTGAAAGGCTGAAACGCTGTAATAAATATGGCAACAAAGATGAGGACAATAGTCCGAATAATGTAAATAGTGTACATAATACATCCTCTCAGAAATATAGAAAGAGACAAAGGTGAGGTTTTACACAGTTCTAAGAATACAATGGAAAGAACAGATAAACAGTGCCGAAGTTTTGGGAACTAAAAGGAAACTCATATTTACAATCGTAAAGTGACAGCTGAAATGGGAAAAGAGGGTTTGGTGAATTTAACACCCACAGGACATATTTAATGCAAGAGAAACAGAGAAAAACAGTTAGTAATCAACGTGTTAGTAGGCGTTAATGGAAAACACGAAAAAAGGAGAAAGAGTCAGTGTAAGGAGTCAAAAGCTACTAATAGCAACAAAAAAAACAGGAAGTTATGGAGAGCTATGATCGACCACACCCCGAAGAAGCATAAAATAAGTTTTATGAGCAATACTGTTTAAGTGACCCCTTTTTCTTATAAAAACAAATTCATATTAAATGTAAAAAGTAAATTCCTATAGAACGTAATCACATATGCTCTTATATATACTGTAGTCCCAACGCTAGGTATCCTCGTATATTGGAGAGTGTATATGGATTTTCCTTTCAGTTGAGTGCATCCCCACACACACCCTGCGTCTGTCCGGCTTGGCGCAACGTGCATGCAGCGAAGAATTTTGTAGTCTCCAAGACTCGCTCGTCTCAAGTTTGGAATCATTTTGAAGTGCTTGGTGGAGTAAGATGAATCGGTTGGTTGGCAAGCGAAGTATTGGAAGCGAAGAAATTGCTTTGGTATGTTATTCTGAACACGCCGACCTCGGATGAGGAAGGAATGATGGACTGGCCAAGATGACAAGAATGTTAATTATGATATTACATTTCCTACAGAAACACGCTCGACAGATCCCTCCTCCTCTCTCTCTCCTTTCTCCATCTCTCTGTTTCTTTCTTTCTCATTTTTTTGTTCTTATTCTCTTTTTCCCTTATTCTCTATGAATCTGTCAGTCAGTTAACTTGTTCATTCTACATCAAGCATGTTCACTCTGAGCGTATATTAGTCTGCGTCATAAATAATTTCCGGCTTTGTTTATCTTTGTTTATTCTACAAGAAATAAATTACAATTCCATTTTATTTAAATATATATTCACGATTATTTACAATGAATTGTTGCAGCTCTTGTCGATGAACAAACTGAGAATGATTATATATATATATATATATATATATATATATATATATATATATATATATATATATATATATAAAGAAAGAACAGTAAGATTTATAATCCGGTGTTCTTTATAGATATTTTTATTTTTACAAAAATAGTGCTCAATGTAAATTTACAGAGCATTAATATTATAAATTAATTGATTTAAAATATGTTTTTTCCTGAAAAAAATATTTTAAATCAATTAATTTAATATATATATATATATATATATATATATATATATATATATATATATATATATATATATATATGTATGTATGTATATACATTTGGTTGAATCTAAATAATTTGCATCTTTTTATCAACTTTATTCATCAAAATATAAATTACAATTCCATCTCATTCAAATATATATTCACGATTATCTGCAATGAATTGTTGCAGCTCTTCATGATGAACAAGTTGAGAATGATATATATATATATATATATATATATATATATATATATATATATATATATATATGGTTGAATCGTAAGTAACTTGTATATTTGTTTATCAACTTTATTCAACAAAAATAAAGCACAACCTCATGTTTTTTCAAATATATATTTACCATTATTGGCAATGGATTGTTGCAGCTCTTCACGATGAACAAGCTGAGAATGATAAAGATATATATATATACGCATATATATATATATATATATATATATATATATATATATATATATATATATATATATATATATACTTTTGGTTGAATCGTAAGTAATTTGTCTATTTTTTTATCAACTTTATTCTTCAAAATATAAAGTACAATTCCATCTTATTCAAATATATATTCACGATTATTTGCAATGAATTGTTGCAGCTCTTCACGATGAACAAGATGAGAATGATAAAGATATATATATATATATATATATATATAATACACATTTGGTTGAACCGGAAATAATTTGTATATTAGTTTATCAACTTTATTCTTAAAAAAATATAGTACAATTCCATTTCATTCAAATATATTATATTCACTAATCTGTGCAATGACATGTTGCCACCTGTCAGGCAACTCTCCGCAGTTTTTGATGTGAACAGGTTTTTGAAGAAACTCTTGAATCTAGTTTGCATTCGAGAAAATTTTCCCATCAATATCTTTTGCAGCAATTGAAAAAGATAATAAGTGTTTGGTGCAAAGTCAAGTGAATATGGTGGCTGAGACCAACCGAGTTCCAAAAGGATTTCTCGTGTTATTCTTACTGTATGTAGATTTGTGTTGCTATGGGAACATTATTTTCTGTCTTGAGGAGTGAATGGCGGTTTTCAACCAAATATTTATGGCCACGTTCCAGCTGCTGAACGTATAAATGTGCATTAATTTTTCATTGTTCTATAAGAAGTGTTTTTTTTGCAACTAGCATGAAACAGCCTGTCTCCTCTAAGTGTTGAATTCAATGTTCACTTTTATATTTATATTTACATACGCTCTATCCCTGATATTGAGCACTTTATCCCCCTTTAAATATAGCACACCTCAAAACTATATTTCTTTATCTATCTATCTATCTATCTATATATATATATATATATATATATATATATATATATATATATTTGCAGCATAAACCACAGTTTGGCTCTGTGGGTATTGAACAAACACAAATAAGCCTGAGCGAGCGTCTACAAAGGGATTAGATAGCCGCCCTAATAGACGGGTATCCTCGAATACGAGTGGCCGGGAATATATATATATATATATATATATATATATATATATATATATATAAAATGATAGAAAAAAATAAATTTACAACACGCTAAAAGAAAAGACGATGAGGATTTTCATATGAATACTATGGAGTTATACATATTCTGATAAAGTCTTCATTGTCTTCGACCATCTCTTGTTACGTTGTTAGACTCATCTGCATCACCTCGGCGTTTGGGTTCTTCTTCCCGCGACAACTCTGGTCGATTCCTGCAACTGAGTACCAGCCGGATACACGGTTATTGGTGCACAAAGCAAAATCGACGAGTTCACTTTCAGATTTATTTATTTATCACATCGCCCTGATACCCCCGGGGAAATGCAATAATCCATCTGCCCCCAGCTATCTACGAAACGCTGTTTTGTGGAAGCGACTCCCAAGGGGATGCTTCCCCGATCACTAGAATTTTAACCTGTTCAAATTTAGAGTTAACCATTATCTTCCCCGCATCTATCCACAAATTGTTCTACCTCTTACTCTGTAACCTGAGTGTCACTTTGGCCTTGTTTAGGGTGAATATTACTAGAAAAAGTGAAATAAATATGAACCCTTTTTTTCTTGGACGTCAACCAATCTAGGAAAATTAAAACTTTGAATTCAAAATCAATTCAAAATAAGAATGGGTACCTATAGTCTTTCTTGCCCTAAACACTCTATCACTGCTGCGGCTTCTCTGAGTATCGTGTCCCTCCGATCCTATGACAGGATTTTTGAAGTTATATGATGTGTGTTCGATCCTTACTGTGTGTCCATACAAAATACGGTCTTAAACAACCCCACAATAATTAACATGTCTTAAAAGCATCCAATATTGTAGATTGTAATACTGTTGGGGCGCACCCACCTTCTAACTAGTAATGGACTGGTCCCTCTTATATAAGTCAGCTCTGGAGAGAGAGTGACAGAGCGTCAGAGAGAGAGAGAGTCAGCGTTAGCAGTCCAGATAAGCTTACCCGGTACATACCGTTGGACTATAGACTTTGGATATTGTTTCGTACTAACCAACCTTCGTTCTACTAATCACTCTATTGTTAATTGCTTTTACAACTGTGTTTGTCTTGATTCGCACACCGCCACGCGGGAAACTCACAACATCTCAACAAATACACATATTAATATACCTCTGTATCTACTCTTTAGACCCCGAGACACACTGTCATAAGGTTTTGACAGAGTTGTAGGTCAGAGAGAGAGAGAGAGACAGAGAGAGAGACACAGAGAGAGAGAGACAGAGACAGACATGCGCGCGCCTTTCGTTCAGTTAGATCCGTTTTAGAGTAGTCGGATTACGAACCTTCAAGCGGTCAATCATTTCAGATAATTGCTCCGCATACTAGACGTAATAATGGTGATAACAGTCAAATTAATATTCCTACATCTCGGAGATTACATTATGAATGAATCCGTGCCACAGACGCTCGCCAAGATAGACGTAAAGTAATGGAAAATATTGAAATGTTTTTGTTTTTTTTAATTCTAAGGGAACGCCCAATAAAAGGTTCAAGAGACACTCGTGGTAGAGGGTTAGTTAATGAAAGAAGAGGTAGAAGAAATGGATGATTATGAGGATAAGGATGACAGAAAATGATTGATTCTTGATTTGAAAAGGTTAACAGAAACACTCAAGATGGAAGGTTAGAGAATGAAGTCTGTGATAGGAATTCAAGATGTAGAAAGTAAAGATTATGGTGATATGGAGGACATATAACGATTGACCCTTGTTCAATTTACCATCTACGTGGGAGTTGTCTTTCACAGAGTAGCAGTTCTTGACAAAAGAGGCTTTCTGAGTGAAAGTTCTTTCTAGATGGAATAGGGAGGAAATGCGTGCCACGGACCACCTTAGTTGTACAGGCTTGAACTGGTGGAAATAAAGAGTCCATCAGAACATTCATACAATAACTACAATACAAATCATATATATATATATATATATAAATGTCGATACAGGAATCATTTATTACTAAAGGCATTACAGGCAAGTCTGACTTTAACCAGGATTGCACTTATGTTAAAACGACGTCGGTTGTCAAAACCTGATACTGGTTAATGTAAATTTTCATTAAAAAATAGACAAAGAATAAAGAAAGTTATGCCATAAAATCTATATACTTATAAAAGAAAAAAAATGTTGAGCTTCACTCAAAAGGTAATCAAATTGTAAATTTCATATGTAAATTAAATTCGCATCAATGCGGAATATTAATAAGACGTGTACGGACCCTGGATTTTAATTACTTTTGCATATCTACGACCCGAAGACTTTACTAACCTGTCACGTTATGAAGGCACAATTTCATTTCTTCCCCCCCGCCCCGCCGACGGGATCTGCTACCCGTCTATAACTGCTGTCAGAATTTCGGAAATGAGGTGTTATCATCATTTCCATTATTTAAATTCAGACTTTCTGGCCCCCGGGTTTTTTCAGGTGTCCACTGATCCAGGTAACTAATCAGGGAATTTCAAACACAAGCCTTTATTTAATCTATAGGTTTAGATTGTGTTCTCTTTTCGCTGACTGAATCTTCAAATTAATACTGTTCAGCGATTGCTTGCCTTGTTTCTGCTGAGATCAGTAGCACCGGCTACAGGGATTGAACACATAGCTGGCCACTTGGATTCGAGGATAACCGTCTAGTAGCGCGGTTAGCCAATCCCTATTGCAGACGCTTGCTCAAGCGCATTTTTGTGTTTATTCAACACCCACAGAGCCCACCTGTGGTTTATACTGCACCTATGCTGAGCAGACCTTAGTTACAGTTTCTGGGAAAGAGGGTGTTATCTAGTAT